GTAACAGTAGTGCGACTAACATTGACGCGACTGTAAAAGTATTGTGATTTTAGCACTGAGACGACTGTAACAGTAGTCTGACTGTAACATGGAGGCGACTGTAAAAGTAGTGTGATTGTAATGTTGAGGCAACTGTAACAGTAGTGCGACTGTAACATTGATGCGACTGTAACAGTAGTGTGACTGTAACATTGATGCGACTGTAACAGTAATGCGGCTGTAACATTGAGCTGACTGTAACAGTAGTGTGACTGTCACATGGAGGCGACTGTAAAAGTATTGTGATTGTAATGTTGAGGCAACTTTATCAGTGCGACTGTAACATTGACGCGACTGTAAAAGTATTGTGATTTTAGCACTGAGACAACTGTAACAGTAGTGTGACTGTAACATGGAGGCAACTGTAAAAGTATTGTGATTGTAATGTTGAGGCAACTGTAACAGTAGTGCGACTGTAACATTGACGTGACTGTAACAGTAGTGTGACTGTAACATTGATGCGACTGTAACAGTAATGCGGCTGTAACATTGAGCTGACTGTAACAGTAGTGTGACTGTCACATGGAGGCGACTGTAAAAGTATTGTGATTGTAATGTTGAGGCAACTTTATCAGTGCGACTGTAACATTGACGCGACTGTAAAAGTATTGTGATTTTAGCACTGAGACAACTGTAACAGTAGTGTGACTGTAACATGGAGGCAACTGTAAAAGTATTGTGATTGTAATGTTGAGGCAACTGTAACAGTAGTGCGACTGTAACATTGACGTGACTGTAACAGTAGTGCGACTAACATTGAGCTGACTGTAACAGTAGTGCAACTGTAACATTGACGTGACTGTAACAGTAGTGTGACTGTAACATTGATGCGACTGTAACAGTAGCGCGACTAACATTGACATGACTGTAAAAGTATTGTGATTTTAGCACTGAAATGACTGTAAAAGTAGTGTGACTGTAACATTGATGCGACTGTAACAGTAGTGTGACTGTAACATTGAAGTGACTGTAACAGTAGTGCGACTGTAACATTGAAGTGACTGTAACAGTAGTGCGACTAACATTGAGCTGACTGTAACAGTAGTGCGGCTGTAACATTGACACGACTGTAACAGTAGTGCGACTATAACATTGAGGCAACTTTATCAGTCCGACTGTAACATTGACGCGACTGTAAAAGTATTGTGATTTTAGCACTGAGATGACTGTAACAGTAGTGTGACTGTAACATGGAGGCGACTGTAAAAGTACTGTGATTGTAATGTTGAGGCAACTGTAACAGTAGTGCGACTGTAACATTGACGTGACTGTAACAGTAGTGCGACTAACATTGAGCTGACTGTAACAGTAGTGCAACTGTAACATTGACGTGACTGTAACAGTAGTGTGACTGTAACATTGATGCGACTGTAACAGTAGTGCGACTAACATTGAGCTGACTGTAACAGTAGTGCAACTGTAACATTGACGTGACTGTAACAGTAGTGTGACTGTAACATTGATGCGACTGTAACAGTAGCGCGACTAACATTGACATGACTGTAAAAGTATTGTGATTTTAGCACTGAAATGACTGTAAAAGTAGTGTGATTGTAATGTTGAGGCAACTGTAACAGTAGTGCGGCTGTAACATTGAAGTGACTGTAACAATAGTGAGACTGTAACATGAGTGATTACTATAACGCTGGGTGATTGTAACAGTGATAGAGCATAACAGGATATTGTAGGTGTGAGTTTTTTGTAATATTCACAGGATCTGCAAAATAATTTCTGGAACAATCAAGCACCATGTGAAATGTTTGTTTGTTACAGACACGCACCGGCCCATGTGTGCGAATGGTAAAGGATCAGATGTCATCAACGGCTGGTCACTGATCAGACAGCAGTTTCTAGCTCTCTTTATCAAGCGATTCCACCATGCTCGCAGAAGCCGGAAGGGAATTATAGCTCAGGTAAAACCACCAGACTCATCAACACACACACACACACACACTTCGCTTTTCTTCCTTGAAGTCTCCTTCTCTCTGTTTTCCATTCTGCAGCTGTGTGCATTTAATATGTTTAATTGGTTCGGGTAGGTCAGAGCTGCAGCGTGAATCCAAGCAAAACTGTTGAACACCAAATGCACCGGCTCATCTTGTTAAAAAATAAGTCTCATGAATATGCATGCAGTGTTCCAGCTGCAAACTTGTATGTGCTACCACCACCGGGTTTATGGATGCAGAGTGTACAGTAAGTACAGCCTATGTGGTGTTCTCGGCCGGTGGTCAAATAAAATGGTGCTTTTTTATTTATTTTTCTGCGTTGGCTTGTGCACGGCGCCCTGCTTTTCTCAAGGGGAAAGATGTTCCATTGTTTTCTCCTTCATTATTCCCGATGCGTTCTCCGTCTCCGGCGCATTTACATTTCTCCTCAGTGTAAACAGAGAGCGTGTTTGAATTGGGTGTTTGAATTAATTGGACAATCATGGAGTGTAATTAATCAGCTGGAGTGAAGCCGTGTCGAGGGGGTTTTGTGTGCGCTGGTTTCGCTCCGTCTGTCAGCAGAGGGCTGGAAAATGAAAGGAGAACATTTGGAGAGATAGCAGAGGGGAAGAATAGAGAGAAATTAATTATGCCGGGAATGAGGGGTGACGGTGCCAGTTTTTGAAAAGTGTTTAATCGAACCCTTTTACACATTTAACTACGCCAACACAAGCACATGACACTCGTCTGCCAGAGAGCGAGAGAGAGATCAAGTCAGGGAAATAAAATCAACGTGCACGGAAATCTGCATGTCGAGCAAGCAAGATCCATGCATTTTAAAGGGGTAGTTCACCCAAAACTGAAGAATGGTGTCATTGTTTATTTATGCTTCATTTCTTCCAAACTTAAGTTAGTTAAAGGGCACATATTGTTTTAAGGTTTAATATGAATATTATGGGGCGAATCAGTGGCGCAGTAGGTAGTGCTGTCGCCTCACAGCAAGAAGGTCGCTGGTTCAAGCCTCGGCTCAGTTGGCGTTTCTGTGTGGAGTTTGCATGTTCTCCCTGCGCTCGTGTGGGTTTCCTCCGGGTGCTCCGGTTTCCCCCACAGTCCAAACACATGCTGTAAAGGTGAACTGGTTAGGCTAAATTGTCCGTAGTGTATGAGTGTGTGTGTGGATGTTTCCCAGAGATGGGTTGCAGCTGGAAGGGCATCCACTGCGTAAAAAACTTGCTGGATAAGTTGGTGGTTGATTCCGCTGTGGCGACCCCAGATTAAATAAGGGACTAAGCCGACAAGAAAATGAATGAATGAATGAATATTATGATTGTTCTGAGTGGGCCAGTTTAGGTTCAGTTCAAAACACAGCTCAGATTTGTTTATTATAATGTGTTAATGGTGTTATTTTAGGGCTGTGTACACAGCTTGCTGTTTTAGGGGCGTGTTACTTCACATGAAAATTGGTTTCGACTTCCTGCCCAATGTAACAAGGGGGCCAAGAGCTCCCCTGCTCTGTGTTTGGCAACACACAGGTAGACAGAGAGAAGCAACATGAGTGGGAGGACCAGCATTCAAGACACAGACCAAGCAGAGAGTACACAATCATTAGTGTCTTTGTATAGTTTTACAGCCAACTGTGTGCTAGTTTAAAGTTCTGAGCATGTACACCGAGACTAATAACCACGCACACTGAAATAACTTTGACCGAGGCACCGGATGCGCCGCTCAGAGCTGCGACACAGCACACCAGATGCACACATTCGCATGTTATTTAAAATGAAACTATTTAGATGGCGCGGCAGAAATAGTCGAGTCCTGAGTCGTGGTTGGGCGCTGCAGACAGACACCAACTTGAAGCGCCATTGTGTGTACCCTGATAGAAAGCTATGTTTAGAATTATAAAATATGTGTGTATGTGTGTGTGTGTGTGTGTGTGTGTGTGTGTGTGTGTGTGTGTGTGTGTTTTGTATCAGGTGGTGATGCCGGCGTTCTTCGTGTGTTTGGCTCTGATTTTCTCTCTGATTGTTCCTCCGTTTAATGAATATCCCAGTCTGGAGCTTCAGCCCTGGATGTATGGAGCTCCGCAGAACACCTTCTACAGGTGCTCATTCATTCATTCATTCATTCATTCATTGATTCATTTATTCATTCATTCATCCATACATTTATTCATTCATCCATCCATTCATTCATTCATTCATTCATTCATTCATTCATTCATTCATTCATCCATACATTTATTCATTCATCCATTCATTCATTCATCCATTCATTCATTCATCCATACATTTATTCATTCATCCATTCATTCGTTCATTTATTTATTCATCCATACATTCATTCATCCATACATACATTCATTCATTCATTCATTCATTCATTCATTTATTCATTCATTCATTCATCCATACATTTATTCATTCATCCATCCATTCATTCATTCATTCATTCATCCATACATTTATTCATTCATCCATTCGTTCATTCATTCATTTATTTATTCATCCATACATTCATTCATCCATACATACATTCATTCATTTATTCATCCATGCATTCATTCATCCATACATTCATTCATTTATCCATTCATTCATCCATCCATACATACATACATACACACATACATACATAAATTCATTTATTCATCCATACATTCATTCATTTATCCATCCATTCATTCATTTATTCATTCATTTATTCATCCATTCATTCATTTATCCATCCATCCATATTTACACACATACATACATACATACATACATACATACATACATACATACATACATACACACATTCATTCATTCATTCATTCATCCATACATTCATTCATTTATCCATTCATTCATTTATTCATTCATTTGTTCATCCATTCATGCATACATTCATTCATTCATCCATACATTCATTCATTCATCCATTCATTCATCCATTCATTAGCCACAGCCACATCACCCTGCAGCCCAAGACCGGTTACTCACTGAAGCTAAGCAGGGCTGAGCCTGGTCAGTACCTGGATGGGAGACCACTAGGGAACACTAGGTTGCTGTTGGAAGTGGTGTTAGTGAGGCCAGCAGGGGGCGCTCAACCTGTGGTCTGTGTGAGTCCTAATGCCCCAGTAAAAGTGAAGGGGACACTATACTGTCAGTGGGCGCCGTCTTTCGGATGAGAGGTTAAACCGAGGTCCAGACTCTCTGTGGTCATTAAAAATCCCATGGCACTTCTCGTGAAAGAGCAGGGGTGTAACCCCGGTGTCCTGGCCAAAGTCCCTCTATCGGCCCTTATGATCATGGCCTCCCAATCATCCCCTCTCACTGAACTGGCTCCATCACTGTCTTTCCTCTCCACCAATAGCTGGTGTGTGGTGAGCGCACTGGCGCCGTTGTCCTGTGGCAGCTGTCGCATCATCCAAGTGGGTGCTGCACATTGGTGGTAGTGTGGAGAGACCCCCCCTCATGATTGTAAAGCGCTTGGGGTGTATGGCCATACACAATAAATGCACTATATAAATACACATTACATTACATTACATTACATTAATTCATTCATTCATCCATTCATTCATTCATTCATTCTTGTTTATTTGTATGTTATTATGGATATTATTGTTTTACTTTAATTCTTTATATAAATCTATAATTCTAATCATTTTGGCTGTGTGTTTGCGTGTGTGTTGTGTGTGTATGTGATGTGTGTGTGTGTGTGTATGTGTGCGCGCGTGTGTGTGTGTGTGTGTGTATGTGTATGTGTGTGTGTGTGTGTGTGTGTGTGTTTGGGTGTGTTTGGGTGTGTTTGGGTGTGTGTGTGTGTGTGTGTGTGTGTGTGTGTGTGTGTGTGTGTGTGTGTGTGTGTGTGTGTGTGTGTGTGTGTGTGTGTGTGTGTTGTAGTTTTGATGGTCCTGGAGTGGTTCAGGTGGAGAAGGTGACGAACGCTTTGCTCAATTCACCAGGATTTGGGACTCGCTGCATGAGCACAAACCCCATACCGTGAGCAACACACACACATAAAACAAATACACACAATCATGCGCACACATACACTCTCATGCATGCAGATGCTCTCTATAACACACAACAAACACAAACACACACTCAAAAGTTTTCCATGTGCCTCTGTTTTGTTCCTCTGGTTGGTCAAGTGTGTGTGTGTGTGTGTGTGTGTGTGTGTGTGTTTCCTCCTCCAGTAGGTTACCGTGTGTCTCTACTGGTTCCACTAATTGGTTCACTCCTGCTGTGGATCCGTCCATCAGTGATATCTTTGATAAAGGAAACTGGACTATGCAGAACCCGTCTCCCGCCTGCCAGTGCAGCACCGCAGAGCGCAGCTTCATGCTGCCCGACTGCCCACCTGGAGCCGGGGGTCTGCCGCCACCACAGGTCAGACCGACACACACACACACACACACACACACACACACACACACACA